ACGTAGACATGCTTTTGAAACAACCCTTTGCTTTTCTTTTTCTTTTTTTTGGCAAGCAAATTAGTTCGTAAGTTTCAAGGGAAGTTCATCACTGGTTTATATTAAATTGGTGTTTGGTATCGATTCTAATTTAATCACTCCTAGTCAAAACAATTTTCTATCCACATTTTGTAGAACCCACAACCACTATCCACTTATTATTTACACATTATGTAGGACTCACAACTTATAATCACTTAAAATTTATTTTAAACAACTACCAAACATGCACCAAGTTAATAGTTTAAAGGCAACTACTGTCAATGCTTTCATCAATCAAACTAACAGACATATCTTGAGATCTGATCCACAGATGATGATTAAACTGGTAATGTACTGCTATTCATGTATATTACACTTATTAGTCACTTGTAGGAGGCAAGTTCTAGGACTTCTCCCTCCCTTAAAACAAACCTTAATATTCACAATTCATCAAACTACAATCAATAGATGTAATTTATCCTTCTCTTCATAGATGCAACTTCAATTCAACAGAACACCATCTTCAATAGGGGAATCGAAATGACATGACAATAGATCTGTATCCTGAAGTTCTGTAATATAAATGGAAAAATGCAACAATCAAGCTCGAATGCCAGAGCCAGTGATCAAATGGACAATTGTTGCTGTAATAAGTCCCAGCAGAACACCAGCACCTACCTGAAGAATGACAAATTTCAGAAACTAATAAAAAAGAGAGTATATCAGTTTTGTGACAATTTATATAACTGGGCATGTTCGGGATTAGACAGGATTTCACACATTGAACTGTAGCAAGTATTCATTAAGGGTGTTGAATCCCGCAAACGCAAGGACAAAAACAAGGATTAGTCATTTTTCAGGCAAAGACTCTTTTAAGACTGTTTCGCATAACAGTACTTGATCGATTGACAGTATAATATACAGAATTTTAACTTTATTGCATTTCTTAATACTATGTAGTCCACCTTACCAAACAAGCCATAGAAGTCTCTATTTTAGTATGTTAGCCATTTATGAACAGAGAGAATCAAATGTTTAGCAAGAAAAGAATCAAGAAATCATGTTTAACTAAGCTCAAAAAGTTCTTATTAGTAGATTTACTAACATGTAATTAAGTTTTAAATAATTATTTCTTTGAATTTGTGAAAGAAGTAAGCGAATTTCCTATCATGACATGAGGTAAGAGAGTTTTGAGTTGAGATTTCATCTTACCAACCTTCTTTACCAATAAACAACACGGAGTTGGCAATGTAAAGAAAGAGAATTAATTTAGGAAACAGTGAAAAACTGGCAACAGCAATACACAAAAGTAAATGATATTTATGGTAAAAACTTATCCTGTTAAAGCAAAAACATGAACCTGAGTAGGTGTGTGACCAAGAAGTTCGCGCAGTGGTCTGCTCTCAGCCAGAGGATGTTCAGCTGGAAGTTCACATACAATTTGATTTAAAACCTGAAAAATCTCTGTTCCATTAGATGTTTCTCAATGTACATAGCATAAAACTTGTATATTCGTACTACTATTTGGCCACTTCAAATTTATCAATTTTACAGGCGTAAGCAAACATGTTTACGCATTTTCAAAGGCAGTATTTGCACCATTTGGCCACTTCAAATTTATCAATTTTACAGGCGTAAGCAAACATGTTTACGCATTTTCAAAGGCAGTCAATACAAACCAGCAGCAGCAAGAGTCACAAACCTCTGCTTGTCTTCCAGCATGTAATCTTACGCCTGTTGCATCATACATCACCTACCAAGGGTTTTTCTTATAAGAAATTCTTGTTTAATATAACAGTTAATAATTGGAAACCAGTGAAAGTTATTGGGAATATTGCCTCAAAATTTAATAAAACAAAGAAGAATCAATATTGAAAAGAAACAAATTAAGGTAATGAAAACTTACCTTTGAACTGTACATTGTTATTCAATTGGAGGAAAAAAAGTATGGCAAAGTTCTCAAAATGTGCGTGAGCCAATTTGGGATGGAATGAGAATTGAAAAAGTTTCCAAATATGGCATGTTTTTGGCAGCCAATTCTTGGAGGAAAATTAAGAAAAAGATTCAGCGAGCAATCTCTTTATTTGATGTGATTCTTTCCCTTTTGCGAGACAAAGGGTTTCTTGGGAGGAAAAATTTTAAGTCTAGCGACCTAGCTTTTCTTGTCTCTTTGTGGTTTGTCCGAAGAGTAGATTCAGAATACGTGGGTCTGGTAAAGCTTGGATTATTTTTCCTATGATACTTGGGTTTGAATGTGATAGAAATTCTTTATGAATGTAACCATTATTCATAGAGTGTAATATTTTGATTTGATAGTCCATAGTTTTCCTCCGGTTTTGGAGTTTTCCTTGTATATCTTTACGTTATTTTTCTCAACAAAAATCTGATACAAGGGCAACCAAGTTATGGAAATGTGTTTATGCTTGAAGGAGACAACATTTTAACTACGAAGGCCAAAAAATAAAGAATGAAAGTAGAACATCATCTGTGAACGAACATCATCTGTGAACTGTTAACATCCTTCTTTCCAAAAGACAATTTTATAAACATTCTGCCCATTCTATCACTTCTTGCTGATTTTACTAATCAACAGCTCCATGGAAGTCCGATTTATCCATTCAAACTTCATGTTTCCAAACATATTTCAATGTCTTACTTACAGTAAAAATGTTACGTATTTTGATGGTAGTTAGGAGTTACTTTCAAAATCAGCAACCTACTTGTTTCCAACTTCAACCAACAAAAAACTACATTTTCTTTAAAACTCACTTATTTTTTAGTAAACTTATAAGCAATTCTTTTAAGCTAGCCAAGCTGTAGAAACTAGAAAGGCAAGATTATACCACAAACAATCAAGAGTGATCTTACCACACATGCCAAGATAAACGCCAATGCAAATAGTGATCCTCCAAAGCCCTCCTGCAAACCAACAGCCACAGCAAGAGAAACTACTGTGGCTGAATGGGACGACGGCATACCGCCAGATCCAACAAGTTGCTTGAGATCCCAACGTCTTTCCTTATACCTGAAAGATTTAATTGCTTTGAGAATTTTACAAATAACAAATATATTTCTCATTGCCGGTCTACATGTACGAGTTTTTCCTGCCCCATTTAACCCCCTAATTTTTCAATTTTCTTTGGGAGTGAAACTTTGGTAGCATAGAAACAAGATTAAACACCTCTCTCAACCCTCAGAATTCGTTTAGTTATGGGTGAATAATGGAGTTTCCTTCTCTGTTTTTCTTAGCTATCTAATTAAGATAGTCTCATAGTTCGCGTTCTGCGAGTGAGCATATTAATGATATTTATACTAAGGACCCTGCTTCTTTTGATGGAATGACAAAATATCAAGTAGATCCCCAGTGGTTGTAAAGTAAGGGTTGTCCAAAATCAATTGAAGTTATTATCTGAGCTTTACCACAGCGACTAGCAGCTAGGCAAGATGATAAGTAATTTGATAGGCTGTGCCACCTATCTACTCATCCCTTTCAATTTGTTTATTTGTTCTCTTTCTCACATATGCAATATTTGATTAGATTGGACACTACCGACAAAATTTTAGCATCCTTTTATTCTTTAATATTGTTTAGTGTTGTACAGACACTTCGTCTTACCAAAGAAGCCATCAAAGTTGCAAGATAAGGAAACACTTCAAATATACCAACTGCATGCAGGTATTGCATCAGGGTACCAATTGAGGGTCAGTCTCACAACCTAGACACGCTCTGAATAGGATTGGGGGTCAGGGAGTAAATCGTTTTTCTTTGTTTGGAAGGAAGGGAGATGAAAGAATGTCTTATGTGTAAAATATGCATACTATGAATAAAATTCCATAAACAGCATCATCTTATGTATATGTTCCATTTGGTCTCTTATCTTGCCCACAAGATTTCACAAGCTATAATTAGAAAGACACGAGGGCCATCCTACAACATGTTATCAAGATCAAGATACCGGAATTGTATCTCTGAACAATGGTATGCATAGTGTATTTCGATAATAATTGAAGTTTATGCAAATTAGCTCGTCAATCATGTATTTATGAAATGGATGGACTCCTCAAACCATCAATATGTGTTTCTGCGTGAAATTTAAGATCCTTTTTTGCCCCCGTCTGGCCCCC